TCCGACTTGGGGGGTGTTTCGGAGGTTGCCCCCTCCCCCGGGAAAACCCAAGAAAAACAACAGAAAACCCGAGTTGGGTTTTTGTTGTTCGAAGGTCCCCCCCCACCCCCCTGCAAAGACACCCGGAAAATGTTGAAAAACTTCAGAGTTGGGGAGTCGTTTTTTTTAGAGTTCCCAGGAGGTTTTCTGGAAAAGTATTGTTGTTTATTGTGGGGTCCCAGAACAATCGAAAAAAACATCGAACAATTCAGAGTTTGGGTTTCTTTCGGGTTCTCCCCCCCCCCCCCTGGCCCCCGCCCGCCCCCCCCCTTCCGAAAAACTCCCGAGTTGGGTTTTTGTTGGGGGGGGGTCCCCTCCACGGGGAATCCCCTGCCCCCCCTCTGAAAAAACGCCCGACAGTGTCGGTGATTGGGGTCGCCATGCCCCCTTAGAGGAGGACGAGGAGGAGGAGGAGGAGGAGGAGGAGGAGGAGGAGGACGAGGACGAGGAGGAGGAGAAGAGGGGAGGATGAGGAGGAGCAGCAGGAGGAGGAGGAGGAGGAGGAGACGCTGGAGCAGAAGGAGGAGGAGCAGGAGGAGGAGGAGGAGGAGGAGGAGGAGGAGGAGGAGGAGGTAAACGATCAGTTACACACCTACCCTTGCGGGTCCAATCGACACTAATGTATCGGATACATCCGCCGGGTTATACGTGGTTGCAGACATGTCCCGCATTCAGAATCCCAGCCGTCGTTTGAGAAACTCGTAAAGCTTCGCGCATCCCCACCAGCACATCCAGGAATGATGCCGGTGGGGAGCTCTCCGTAGCGGGGGAGCGTGGCATCATGTGGATTCCCCGGGGAGCCCCCACTGAACTAAAGGTCCCTTGGATGCCTCTCGGAGCCGACTGGGATCTCGCCTGGAGGTCTCTTGGGGGCCTCTTACGGCAGCTTGGTGGCTTCTAGGGGGGAGGGGCTTCGGGGGACCAGTCATGGAAGCCATTGATCCTATATGGTTCCCATCTTGTAGCCATCTGAAGAACTTGGAACCGCCATCAGAAGCGAGAATATGAGAAGGCAGCAAGCATTGATGTGCCTCTGGTTTTTGGAGGATGTTGCCTCTTGGGGAGTCCTGGGGGTGCTTGAAAGCCGCTTTGTCCAGCCTGGGAACGATTTTGGGACTTATGAGGAGTCTTGGAGTATGTTGGAAGCCATCTTGAGCGACCTTGCGCTATCTTAGCCATCTTTGAGACCATCTTGGGCTACTTGGGGCCTTCTAGGAGCCATCCTGGGCTACCTTGGGCCCTCTGACCAGTCGCCGACTCCCCGTCCAGACCCAGGGGCAGAGGGGAGGGGGAGCGGTCAACTTCCCAGCGAGAACGCCGCAAGTTGCCTCGCTCACTCCCACCCGCCCTCCCACTACATAAGTAGCACCCGAGTCTTAGCATAGACAGGAGCCGCCATCGACAACCACCGGGAACCAAAGCAGACGCCAGCCACGTGCGCGAAGCCCGCGAGGTGCGCCGCACATGCCAGGTGCGCCACGCGCACAAGGTGCACATCTTTTTGGGAACACGTCGACCCCCGTCACAAATCAATGCGTTGATTGCGGGTTTGCGAGAATAGTGTATAGCAGGACTCGACCTAAATGGTGTTTCTGCGATTTCGTGGACCGTTATCGTGGTGACTTTGCTCGCAATAGAGGCAATTACGAAAACATATCGAAGGAACACGAAAACGAAACAAACATGAAAAACACTGCTTAGCCCGAGCCCTGCTGTACAGTGTGTGGGTGTAACCCCCCCGCTCTTTTTGTCACGTGCTTCTGACCGAGATTGTGGGCCTGCGCGCAGCAGGCAGGATGCCCACCCCCCACACCCGCCGTCCCTGGCAAAGAGAACTCTGCATTCTGTTCAAAGGGAGTGGCGTGCCGGCCTGCACGCAGCAGGCCATATGCAGGCACTTCCTCCGTTCCTGTCAAAAACCTGCGCAAAATGGTCGCGGGGCGTCTGCGCATGATCTGTGCGAAGTGCATTCTGGATGGTTTCTGTGCAAGGACTGGTGGGGCTACTGTAAGTGCCCAACGCAGAGGGTATGCCGCCCCCCCCCTCCCGCTGCCTTTGCCAAAAACCAATGTGAAGTGATCGCGGGGCGTTATCGCATGGTGCACATTTGGGTGTGAAGTGCACTTTGCGTTGCTGCTGCAAGGGATGGTGGGGCGCTGGCACTTGTCAGCCGGCAATCTGCCAGCACCCCCGCCGCCCCTGAACGTGAAGTGATCGCGGGGCGTCCGCGCATGATCCAGGTTTCGATGCGAAGTGCATCCTGCAGTTCTGCTGCAACCGAAAATCCACTCCATTAGTGGGCCGTGTGCTTGTCTTTGCCTTCCTCCTGCTCCCCATCGTCCTCCTCTCCCCCCCGCCCCTTCGGAGTGTTGTTCCTACTTCTGGCACGGGCAAGAGCTGTGAGCAGTCGATGTGCGGGACTGCTGACCTGGCAGCCACGCTGCCCGCTCTCCCTCTGCACGTACGGGCCTCTCGACCCTGTGCTGCAATCAGGGAGTCCCCAAGCTGATTGCTGGGGGAGGGGCTCCCCTAGGGTTTTGACATCGGCGGGACATAGTGCTTCCCGAACGCCCTGCGGCCACCACCCCGATCGAGTGACTCGAGACTTGGCCATGCGCAGATAGCGAACGAGCGAGTATCCTTGCCCTCCTCCTCCTCTTCTCTTTTCAGTCCTCCGCCCGAGCCTCGAGTCTGGGGCCACGCAGGTGCCCGCCTTCGGCACTACGGAGTTCGTCACGCGTCATTCCCCTTAGCTCCCCTCCGTCTTCCTCCCCCGAAAATTGCGCTAGAACGATCTTAATGCGTACTGTTGGTTGCAAGGGGCGGTGGGGGGGCGGCATTGGCCTGGGTTTGTCGCTGGTCGGGTGGGGGAGGGGGGGTATAATTAAGCAAGCCGTCCAACTCATTCCCCCCCACCCTCCCAGCACACGAGAAACACCCTAGCCCGAGCATGTTCAGCAGTCGTCTTTGGATGGGCAGCTATTGAGAACCAAAACCGACGCCATGTGCGCGACGCTGGGGCGAGGTGCGCCACGCGCCCAGGCACCCCTGGGGCCCGAGCGTGCCAGGCACCGCTGGTGCACCAGATGCGCCACGTGCTCCGCGTGCGCCGCGTACTCCAGCCGCGCCAGGTGCGCCACGTCCGGCGCACTTGCAGAGAGTGTCTGTCAGGTGCGCCTACGCGCACATCGGGAAACATGTCAACCCCTCACCATTCTTGTCGAAAGCTCATGCCCATCATTGTGTCTGGTGGGCCTGCGCAGAGCAGGTCATACGCCACCGCCCCCGCCGTCTCTGACAAACATTACTTGACAGTTACGCGGGATGGCCGCGCATGGTCTAGATTGAGCCGCGAGGTGCATGGTGTATTGTCTTTGTGTAAGGAATGGTCGCCCTGCGCACAGCAGGCAATATGCTGACACCCCTGCCGTCCCGCGGGCCTCACGAACATGATTCAAGACTTTGGCCCGAAGTGTACTTTGTTTTGTTTTTGTGTTCTGACAGGGATGGTGGAGGGGGGCCGTATCGGATTGCCCGCGCATATTTTGAATGTGGAGGCAGAGTGCATTTTGTTCTGTTTTTCTTGACAGGCATGGTAAGGGGGGTCCTCTTGGGGTCCTCACTCTTCCTGGGAAGGGGTGTATACTAATAGGGAACAGTGATAAGAAGCGACGACTAACTTCCCAGTGAGAGAGTGGTAACCCCTCCCCGAAGGCGAAGAAGGAGGTTGGAAGAGGAGCATACCTAAACCACATACGGCTGAAAGGGCTGGTCGGACTTGACCTGCATGGGCAGGGTTCACAGGTTGCTGCTTGGGCGGTGGAGGAGGAAGGGCATCGCAGGCGATCTCTCGCTCCCAGCCCTGGCTCCGCCCATTCGAAACCAGGCCAAACCCCCAGGGGGCCACTCGAGCGCATCTCTATCGAATTGTTTGCCCGATCGAAGTTTCCACAAGCTATGGAATTGGATGATCCTCCCCCCGGATAAAGAGGCGGAGGAGGAGGAAGAGGAGGAGGAGGAGAAGGAGGAGGACGAGAAGGAGGAGGTTGCTGGAGGTGTTGCAGAGGTTCGGCTCTCCGTGGGCTTCCCCTACGGGCTCACTCCGGAGCCCGTTCGGCACCTGAGCCCGCTCGGCCGCGGACTAGGCAGCCGACGGGGCTTCATCGCGAGCCGGCGGGCATTCAGCCTCGGCGACCGAATGGGCGGCGGATCCTGGCTCTGTTCGGCGGCAGACTGGGCTCAGACGCGGAATGTGCGCCTCCCAGGGCCTCTGGGGACGGACGCGTGCGGAGCCCAGGCCTCCAGCGCGAGGGGCAGATCGGGGAGGCCAGCTGTGTCTTCGCCGTGGCACTCTGAGGGCCAGTTTTGGGCCCTGGGGCCCGCCAGGCAACGATCCAGAATGAGGTGCTGTCCTGGGTATAGAACTCCCGCTTTGGGAGGTTATACGCGTGCGTACCTTAGCGCCCGAAGATCACCGCGATGAAGCAGACATCGTACTCGGGCCCCCGCAATGGGGCTGCCACCAGGGGATATTACACACTCCCGTTCGCGCCAGCAGCAGCACCAGCACCAGCACCAGTAAACCGGAACAGCAGCAGCAGCAGCAGCAGCAGCATCAACAGCAGCAGCAGTATTATCAGCAGCTGTGGCCACCATATCTGCAGTAGCAGCAGCAGCAGTAGCAGCAACATCAGTCACGAATGGTAGCGGCACCCGTCTCAACAGACACGGCACAAGCATCGACAGCAGCAGCCGCGGCAGCATCGCCAGCAGCACCGGCATCAGCACCAGCAGCCGCAGCGGCAGCGGCATCAGCACGGGCAATAGCCCAAGCAGCAGCAGCAGCAGCAGCAGCAGCAGCAGCAGCAACAGCAGTACGGCTGGGGCCGCTTGAGCAGGCGGGTGAGTGACCAACGTGTTGGCGGGGCACTCTCGGCGGCGGTTGCGCCCTTCCGCGCGAGGTCGCCTGGCGTCGCGACGAGGGACAGGGACTTCGAGAAGGAGTTCCAGGCATGCCCACCGCCTCCCCGTGCAGTCCCTCTGTCGCGTCGGCTCGGCGCCGCGGCTTCGCCGATCCTTGGGGAGATCCCAGGGCATGCCCAGGACCCGTTTCCCTCATGGGCACCCTCCAGGACGAGGATGAGGAGGAGGAGAGGGTGGAGGAGGAGGAGGAGGAGGAGGAGGAGGAGGAGGAGGAAGAGGAGGAGGAGGAGGAGGAGGAGGAGGAAGAGGGCCCTCGAGGCACCGACGTGCTCCCCTCCATGCATGGCGGCTCGTGCGGTATCTCCTTCGCCCCAGCGGCCCATCGCAGTCCTGGCTTCTGGCCTTGCGGAGGGCAGCGGGATGCGTGGCCAAAAGGGGGTGGGAGCACGTCGCGCGTCCCGCGAGGCGCTCTCTCCGCTGTCATGCGCTTCCATCGTCTTTACCGCTGGTTCATCCTCCCTTGACCGTGCTCTTCGATTTCTCTCATCTCCAAGATCTTACCGTTTGTGTCTCTGCCCTTGCATCTCCCCCTCCTCCCCTCTCCTCCCCTCGTCTCTCCATCCCCTGGGGCCAACCGGGAGGATCAGAAGGAGGATGATGACCAGGAGGTGTGAGACGTTGCGTAGAACAATGGGGGAGAGGGAGAGACGTGGTTGATGAATACATTGCTCCCCCCCCATTTGCACGCCGACCACCTAGCCTTTTGATTGCCCCGAAATGCCACACGCTGGAGCGGACTGCCTCCGCCTCGCCGCCGACGAAAAAGTTGATGAATACAGGGGGGCAAGGTGGAGGAGAATGTGGAGACGTCTGTAGCGGTGGAGTAGCCGAAGGACAGGCGAGGCTGGCATTGCAGTTCTTGCGACGGCGTTATGGCAAGGAAGAGCTTCTCAGTACAAGCATATTCTGGGAACGCGAATGGTTGCTATTGACGGCAAAAGAGACATTCCACCAATGCCCACCCACCGAGCAAGGGAGTATCAGTTCGCTGCCCACATGAAACATGCACGGTCGCGCGGCATGTTGGTAAGCTGAGAGGCTCCCGAGGGGCTGCCGAGGGGCTGATGAGGCTCTGCTGAGAGGTAAATGACACGCTGCTGAGAGGCGTCTTAGAAGTAATGAGAGGTTTCTCAGAGGCTTACAACAGGTCCCTGACGCATCCAGCGTCTGCGCAGACATCCCACCCACCCGCAACTTGTGGGCAATATTCAGCTGAGCGGCGACAGAGACGATGAGGATGACGAGAACAATGTCATTGACAACGGTAACGATGATTTCGATGATGAGGCTGGCGATGAAGTTGTTGGTCATGTCTATAGCGGTGGCGCTGATAATGACGCTGGTTCTAGTGAGGGCGATGGGGAAGTGCGCTCGCAGACATTTAACGAGGGATATGACATCGACGAGAACGATGCTGCTAGCGGTAGTGATCATGAAGTCGATGACGATGACGATGAAAATGATGACATTGGACGGTGGCGGTGATAAGAACCATTGTGCTGGTGAAGATGGCGAAACAGTTCGGGCCCGCATTGTTGTCGATATATCGTGATTATTTAGTGGAATAACCTTTTGGTATGCGTGAGTGGTTGAACACCTCTTTGTCGAAATGCGTAGAACACCCATGGTTTTGGATGGGTGTCCCCATGCGCGCTTGTGGCCCACACTCATTTCTTTGGCATTTTGGACGGGTGCGTTTGCGGAACTCATTGTCTCATATCACAGAACGGCTGGGCATTCTTCACACGCGCATAAACAAGGCAACTCAGTATGCGATTCCAAGAAAATCTCCGTATAGCATCACAGATACATTGCCTATTACCATATGACAAAGGTGAGGCGTGTCGGTAGCAGGGATGGCTGACATGCTATAGTTTGATATTCATGTTGAGCGACCGTGATGGAGGTTCATGGATGAGGTGGATTGATCTTTGTCGCTGCTGGCGAGTCCCTGGCTCGCCTCTATATTTGCTGCCTCATTCTTGCCGCTGCCACTGCGCGCGTGGACACGCCGGACGCCCTCCCTTTGGGAGTAGGAGAAAAAGGACGGGGTCATGACGAGAGAAAAAGTAAAAACGGATCCCAGATCTCCGACCACTCGATTCTTTGTTGGCCGCCGGTCCATGGAGGTTTCGACCCCCTCCCCCTGAAATGGTCGACGGATCGGGGGGTCGTAATCAGGAAGACAGAAATCGGGTTGGGAGGATGGGGTTGGGAGACATGAGAGTCTCATTGCCCGTAGGCGGCCGAAGGTATCGCGCATCGCATCCGAATGCTATTGCTCATGCCTTTCATTATCCCAACCCCTTCCTCCCAACACGATACACGCCGGTCATTGAAAGCAGGTGTTTCTGGATTCTCAGATTCCAATCTACTTCAAGTTCCTTCCTGTTTCAAGATTCGATATGCTCTTGCTGTGTGTTGACACTCTCTGTGAGGGCCTGGACCCATTCTACTTCATCCGCCTTCCTACTTCATGTCTTTGCAAACTTCTTCCGACCAGCGTGTCACGGCGTTCCTCACGCAAGTATGCTTTCTGACGGCCCCTTTGGCCCAGAGCCAGCCTCCCGGCGGGCGCGGACCGTCGGGCGCGAGAGCGGCTGCCGTGTCGCCAGGGATCGGGGGGGGGGGGCCCAGGATCGCCTGCTCCTGGAGAACGTCGCCATCCACAAGCTGTGAGCGCCCGCGGCTGGCAGACCCCCGCCCCCGCGCCTTCTCTCGAGGCGGGCATGTATGCACAACCGCCGCCGGGAGGATGGATCACCGCGGACGTCCACGGGCGGCGGATATGGATACACTTTGGCCCCCGGGAGCCAGAATATTATCCACCTCCACCGCCCACTGAGGTGCCAGGACGTCGGTTCCTGGGCGGTGGACATGGATAACGCCCCGCCTCGCACGATTTCCCTCGGGAGAGCGCGCCGTCGCAGAGGCGTGCCCCGTGCAGGCTGGTGGCGCGGCGCGCACGCACCGGCACAGTGGCCCTGTGGTTGCCCCGGGCCTCGAGCCTCGATCGGCGAAGGCTGCGGCGAGGGCAGGGACGATGGCAGCGACGCCACGACGAGGACGATGGCAGCGACGACGACGACGCTGGACGAGGACGACGATAGAGGCGACGACGAGGGCGCAGAACGAAGACGATGGAGACGTCGAGGACGAGGTCGACGACGACAGCGCAGGACGAGGACCACGAAGACGACGAGGACTGCGGACTGGAACGACGGAGGCGACGGCGGAGGACGAAGACGAAAGCGACGACGCAGGGCGACGCGGTGCAGCGTCTGGCGGCTGTCGGGCCACGCCCCCGTCGCGTGGGCAAGCACGGTCCCTGAATCGCTCAAGCACGAAATGGCAGCAATGCAGAACACGGGAGCACAAAGAGGGATGAGTTAGGGATGGTCATGTGTGGGCGGGAGAGAGAGAGAGAGAGAGAGAGAGAGAGAGAGACCCTCCTCATCAGGATCAAAAACACACGCGGGCGGCTGCGGGGAGGCCTGGCCTGGTCCAGGTGTCACCACCAGGGGAACAGCCTGCGTAGTCTACTGGCTGGATCTCGAGACCATTCGAGGACGGTTGGAGATGGGGGAGGCATGATATGATGAGGAGGGGCAAGAAAGAGAGAACATAGGTGGGCGGAGCAATTGCTTCAGCCGTCTGGCGTGGCCCAGGTTTCACCACCAGGTGAACAGCCTGCGTGGTCTACTGGCTGGATCTCACAGGACAGCTGTAGGGACTGGCTGGTCGAGCCCAGGGTTCGCCACCAGGGACACAACCTGCCTGGCATACTGGCTGGGTCGCCTGACCACCTCGATCTGCCGAGAAGACAGGGCCCTACGGTGGAGGGGGGAGGAAGGACGAGAGGCGTATGCGGGAGCGGCGGTTGATGTGGCCGTGGACCCTGGGGCTCCACCTGCATATCTAATGACACTACTGAGAGCCATCCCCATGGCTCCTGAAACGGCACTCTGGACCAGGGCACTTTCCCCCGAACAGAAAACCGTAAAGGGCAACTCACACGCATTCAAAATCATCTGAATGCCTGATGCTTCACGGGCATGGGACCAGTTCAGTACCCAGTAGGACCTGAGAACCTCTAGGTAGCGGGCACCTCCAGCTGGGAGAACAATATACAGAAAGAGGCCTACCAAAACTCCGAAGGCAAACGAGAGTACACACCTATGGACACTTGGCTCCTGCTGTAACTCTAACTCTGGGCTGGGGTTCAGGCTTCTCAGGGCTCCAAGGAGGGATTTCACTCAGCCAAGCTTCCCAAGAACTATATCCATGAGGAGCGAGGCCTTGTCCTTGTGGTTGCCTGGGAGCTGCTTGCGGGGCACGTGCGAGAGGATGATTTTGTTGGCCACCCCCGTCGCGTGCTTGTCGCTGGCCAAGGACTTCGCCAGCAGGGTACAGATCTCCGCACGGTTGCCCGTGGCTGGGAGCTTGGTCTTCGCACCCACCACGGTTTGGATCCACCCCAGCTCCGAGCGCGAGAGAGGCTTGGACAGATCCCCTGGCGATGACGAGCGGGCCCGCGGAGTAGGAGGACAGCTGTCTGGTGCAAGTGCCTTGCGAAGCTCCTCCGTCTGGCTGGTGAACGACGATTTGAGCGCAGCCGAAACATACTCGCCCTGCTTGCGGAGCTCGAGAGCTCCCTCTCACGGCACGCCTTGTCATGGAGGAAGGCAGCGTACTCCTTATCCTTGGACTCCAGCTGCTTGCGTAGGGTCTCGACCTCCTGCTTGTCGTGGTGGCTGGCTGAGCTCCTCGCCCGGTAGGACTTGTCCCTGCTGTGGCTCCGACGGTCTCGGTCACGGTCCCGATCACGGTCACGGTCCGAGCTGGAATCCTTGCGGTCGCGCCGATCACGTCGATCACGCTCCCCATCACGGCGGTCATCCCGATAGTCACGTCGATCACGGCGGTCTCGGTCACGGTCTCGGTCGCGGTCCTGGCCATAGCCTTTGTCGTAGCCCCGACTGCCCGTCCACTGCTCCGTGCCCCAGCGGTTGTTGTAGCCCTTGCCCATGGCGCAGGAGGGCGGAGATGAAGAAAGCCGTAGGTGTTGCCGCCAAACTCGCAAGACTGCTCGGATTCTTTGAGCAGTAACACTCCATGGGGCAGAATGGGCAGCGGCAATGATGACGTCGATGGGGTACCCCAGTAGGAACAATTCGAGGGCCAACTCAAGGACCCACCCTGTCGTGATACCGATGCTCAGCTGTGTAGATATTGAGCCCTCGCAAACCTGCCAGTGAACAGTGAGACGACCATCGCAAACTTTCGGGGGGGTCGACTAGGCCACTCGATAATGTTAGCACGCGGACGGGCATCGACATCCCCTGACAGCCAGGGCCGATTGAGGTTCTTGGGGAGTATGACGACCTCGGGACCCACGGCTCGAATCTCCAAATCCACCCAAATGCACGGCTCCGCGTTGCCCTCGATAGTTGATGCAGGGCTAAGGCGTTTGGGATATACTTCACGAGGGTATGCATACGTACACGTGCGGCAGTAGTGCGTGCTCATACCGATTATGTCATCCACGTAGCGACGTTGGTGTCCAGGAAGCCGTCGAAAGCCTGCAGTGCCCAGCCGAGCCTCATCATGTTGAGAGCCTGGAACTCGAACCAGCACATGAGCACGGAGAGGGCCACTCCTGAAAGCACCCCGCATGGGGAGTCCTTTCATCTCATACATGACGCCACCCAGGGAGACCAAGAGATCCAGGAGAACGAGGCCAATGCCTTGTGGACGTCAAACACCGAGATCTTAAACCATCCAGGTGGGGTTGAGCCTAACCAGGGCCTGGTCCGAGGTATGCGAGACTGCTTAACAAGAGTCGCATCAGCACCAAGCTGACGTACTGCCTCTGACGCAAAATCGGTCCACGCCCTCGATAGTGCGGACGCACTGCACTGCTCAAAAGCCTGGTCAACATCGGCGACCACGACGCTGATATCCGAGATGGGCTGCGAGCAACGGGCACAATGCGATGCTAGCGCTGAAGGGAGAGATCAACGAAGACGACGGATCTCGCCTGCTGCATCATTGGTGTTAAAGACCTCTGAACTGAGCCCGCTCCGCGACAGGATATCTCGAACCGCCCGACCAATGATCTGGAACCCGGAAACCGTACGACCCTGGCGCTTGGGAACAGTTGATGACACGACGAACGCAGCTGTGGAAAGGCTTGTGACACGTACGCTCTCCCTGGGGTGAGACACATTTTCCTTTGACCGTGGGGGAAACGTAGGGCGGCTTCGTGTCGGCCGACAGCGGAGGCAGGAAACGTGGCGTGCACAGCCATGGTGGCAGTGCGGCCACAGCTCGGCCCCACATCCAGACTGCCGCGTCCTTCGGGGAGATGTCTAGCCTCAATGTCCTGTCGGGGTCGGCCATCGCCAGCTGGTGGAGGTAGCGCATCATGTCACAGCCGTCGCACGCCCACACCTTGTCGCACTCCTTGTCGTCCGCGATGATCACGCGCTCGTTGGCCTCCTCAAGGCTGTTGGCCATGCCTGTCTCCACCTCTCGCCAGGCTGGGGGTGCCTCTGGCGGCACGATCCAGCGATTTGACAGCCACGTGTCGAGATGCCGAAAGCCTCGTCGAAGGACACGGTAGGGTATGCGTGCCTTGGCCGCCCACGAGCTGAGCGCTGCACGCGCCTCCCGCAGCGCACGCCGAGGGCGTGGCCACACGGGCAGGCGCCAGGGCCCCTCTAGGCGCCGAAGGCGCCATGGGGCCGACGGTGGCCCGTCTGGCGGGTGCGGCAGCGCCTGCGACGAGAAGTCAGCACAGAAACGACTGGCAGACACGTGGTCCTTCCAGGATGGGGCTTTTGCATAGGTCGCCCTCGGTGGTCGGAGATAAACCTCCCGTGTCGGGGCGAACTTCATTGATCTTGCCATGGCCGTGATAGCGGAGCTAAGCCAACGACGGTACTCAGCCTCCTGAAAGACGGCAGGAAGCTGAATGGGTGGGCACCTGGCTCGGGGGAGTCGTAGACGACGAAGGTGTAGGTCGATGTGATGCATGGCCATACGCGGACGATGGTATGACCGAAGGAAGAACTGCGCCTGCGACGCTGCAAGGTACAAGTGGGCACCAACCTCCTAAGCGGCTCCGGAACGGGAACACAGGCAGATCTCCCCACCTGGCCGCGAGGCAGGCGAGCAGGAGCCCAAGCCTGCGGCCCTCGAATAGCCGCAGTGGCCCCACCTCCCCCTGTCAGGGTGGCAGTGCTCTCCGCTCTGGAGCTGCCGAGAGGACCGTGGCCGCCCACGCGGGGGGGCGCGGGGGTGTGGTCGCACGCGGCCCGCGCCTCCCCACGACGAGGGGCGGCGGCGGCGGGCGCGGCGAGTCTTCCCCATGGCGTGGTGTGGCCCGGCTCCCCGCCGCCTGCTGCCTGCCTCGGACTCCATGGCGTCGCACTGGTTGCACCTTCGGGCTGGAGCGTCTGATGGCCAGTGCCTCAAGATGAAAGCTCGCCCTCTCGGTCCGTAGCAGCAGCGCGGGCAGGAGGAACAAGGATCCGAGGCTACGTCTGAGGGCACGGTAGCGGGGTCGCCGCCCTGGGCCGACTCTCGGATGAAGTGCTGCCCGCACATGTTCAGCCACTCTGCCAAGTAGCCCTCATAGGGCTGACGCACGTAATGCTGCCTTGCCAATGTACACACCACCATGACTGCCAAGCACATACACCACAGCACGGGTCTCTCCGCGGGGTGGTCCTAGAAAGCACTCGAAGATTTGAAGGAGAAGCGGATGATCCCAATCGTTGATGGCCGTGCGCAGGTCGGGGGCGATCATGATAAGAATTTGTCTCGCCCATGATGGTACTC